TTGGCATGTACATTGAGCACTATCTGACAAGAAAGGGTTGCTACGTTATACTCGCTGGGCATAACCTCCTTGGTTTTAAAAAGGTTTAGCGAGCGTTGGGCCGCAGTGCCATGAATACAGTGAACTAGTATATACCATAAACTCGAGGTGGCTAAAAGGTGGGAAGTAGACATAAAGCGTAAGCCGCAAGAAAGTGTGCGTGTGCCACCTCTCGGTTATTTCTTGGAATGCCCGCTGGATGGCGGTGCATATGCGGAATATATAATGAAAAGATGCGGGATGGTGATACTTGGAGTGTTTAATAGATGGACGAACGGACACACAGTCAGATGCATGGACAAACGCACGGATGGCAGCACCGACGGATGGACGCATGGATGGACGCAGGGGCGGATGCATGGACGAACGCAGGGACGGACGCACAGATGAACGTGCGGACGCACGAACAGACGCACGCGCGGACGGGCGAATGGACGCACGGACGGTCACACAGACGGACGCATGGACGGATGGAAGCAAGAACGAATGGACGGACGGATGCTTCGCCCCACTCTCCATCATTCACTTCGCGGATATGCTGCCATTTTTTTTGATCCCGTTGAACGTACTTGAAGATCATGTCGGACAGAGTTCGATGAAAACGCTCGGTCAGACCATTAGTTTCTGGGTGATACAGTGATGTGGTCTTGGGGATGGTGTTCAAGGTCTGAAGGACTTCAGCAAGGGCATGCGAAAAAAATGTCTTGTCACGGTCACTAAAGAGCATACGTGGGGCACCATGTTGTAAAATAATGACGCGAAGGACGAAATCGGCGACTTCAGTGGTTGCACCAGACGGAAGAGATATCGCCTCCACGTAGCGATTAAGGTGATCTACGGCAGTGATAATTCAACGGTGACCGGCGGGCGTGAGTGCAAAAGGTCCGATTAAGTCTATGCCCACGAATTCAAAGGAAGTGGATGGGCATTGCAGTGGTGTCAGTGGCCCCGCGGGAAGAGACGTGGTATGTTTTCGGTGCTGGCATGACGCGCAGGAAGTGACGTGCTTGGTGACAGAAGTGGAGAGGCCAGGCCAAAAGCAGCGAGTCTTGAAGCGGTCGTAAGTCTTGTGGAACCCTAAGCACTGTCGCGTCGTCATAAAACGCTTGTAAAGCTTCCAGATGAAGTGAGCGAGAAATGACGGGGACCCATTGGTTATCGAGAGGATGGTAAATTTGCCGACATAATGTTCCATCTTGAAGCTTGAAATGGGCAAGTTGTCGTCTTAGGCGGCTGTTTGGAGCACGTGATAAGCCAGTGAGACGATCGATGATTGTGCTGCAGTAGGTATCGGCATGCTGGAGCGAGGCGAGATCTGTGGACGAAAGAAGGTCCGCCAAGGCAATGAACTCTTTCGAACCAGCAGCCGTCTGCTTGGTCACTATATCTCTATCGTATAACAGAAAAGCCTGGCACATTCTGTCACGGAGAGATGTTTCCCATGCCTAAGGGATCAAAACGCATTCTTAGCGATTCTAAAGAAACGAAGTTACGCCAACATTAGGTTCAAAAAAGGAACACAGGTTTGAGGCGCCCGGAGAGCACGTAAGGCCGCGCATAAAGGTGTTGATTGATTGATTTGTGGGGTTTAACGTCCCAAAACCACCATATGATTATGAGAGACGCCGTAGTGGAGGGCTCCGGAAATTTTAACCACCTGGGGTTCTTTAACGTGCACACAAATCTGAGTACACGGGATAAAGGTGCTGAGTCACTTTTTGCATCAATACCGCAATCTTTCGCCTACAATGCCGTTTTGTGCAAACCCCACCCAAGACTGTACACCACGGAAAACAAGATATAAAAAAATCCCGTGCGTTGCCATAAGCAACCTTCTTCGCACTGCCTCTAAGCTCTTTTGTCAGGTCAAATAGTTGCCTAAGTTCACACTGAAAATGCGGGATATTTTTGAAACTCTTACATCGAATTACACGGCATACCAAACTAATTATCTCTTTCTATATTTTAAATACAAAGCATTTCTTAGCGAACTTCGGCGACTTTGAGCGTATCTATCTATCTATCTATCTATCTATCTATCTATCTATCTATCTATCTATCTATCTATCTATCTATCTATCTATCTATCTATCTATCTATCTATCTATCTATCTATCTATCTATCTATCTATCTATCTATCTATCTATCTATCTATCTATCTATCTATCTATCTATCTATCTATCTATCTATCTATCTATCTATCTATCTATCTATCTATCTATCTATCTATCTATCTATCTATCTATCTATCTATCTATCTATCTATCTATCTATCTAATTTCTGTCTGTCTGTCTGTCTGTCTGTCTGTTCGTCTGTCTGTCTGTCTGTCTAGCCACCGATGACTTTTAGCTCTCCTGGCCGTTTCAATATAGGTATCAATACCAAACTTGGTATGGCATAACATGACGGCATGAAGAACATATTTACCTAGTCATAACATGAAAATAGTGACATGTATGTCATGAATGTCATAATTTGCATGTCATAGTCCTGCAGCTCTTGCGGTGGTGTCGTTCACATGGCATGTTGCAAAACTGGTAAGCTAGGACAGGATTGCATGGCGAACACAAGTGACAGACCCTAACATGAAAATTACGACATGCGTGTCATGTAACAACATGACTATATGCCACGCTCATGATGCACTCGTGGTCATTTCGCTAGCGTCACATATAGCAAATTTTGTATTACGGTACGTGAATGGATGACGAAGGTGCGTGACTGGTGTAAACATGATAATCATGAAATCCATGTCATGTAACAACGTGACTACATGCCACGTTCATGATGCACTGGCGGCCGTGTCGCTAGCTTCACTTATACCAAATTTCGTAGTACGGGACATGAATGGATGACAAAGGTAGATACTGGTGCAAACATGATAAACATGAGATGCGTGTCATGTAACAACATGACTACATGCTACGGTCATGATGCGCTCGTAGCTGTTTCGTTAGCTTCACATGTACCAAACTAGGTATTGCACAACGCCAATGGTAACGAAGATGTGTGACAGGTGCAAACATGATAATCATGAGAGGCGTGTCATGTAAGAACATGACTACATACCACAGTGAAGGTGCCAATACATTTCGACGTGACGAGGTGCGCGTGTTCGCTGGCGTTCATTTCGTCACGTCGCACCAGCGTTGTCACGCCAGCCGCTGGTCCTGCCATATACTCAGTCGCGCGCGGCACTGCGTTGCTTTGACGCATGCGCGTTTCAGCGTGTGCGGCGTCCCTCCGTCGCGAAAAGAGGGAGACGCATGTTGTCTGGGTAATGCATCGGAGCGAAATGCAGCATGTCGCATTTTGCGCCGGTTGCCATCGGGCCGCGCCCATGGACGCTGGTCGCGCTTAGCGCCAGACTGTTGAGTGCTCGCGATTTGCTAACGTAGCGTTGCTGTGGCCAGCGTGCGCCGCGACAACGCTACATTGGAGCACATTTGGCCCTTCGTGATGCACTCGTGGCCGTTTTAATTGGTGTTACGTGACGTCAATAGATTACGAAATATATGACTGTTGCAAACATGATAATCCTGACACGCTTGTCATGTAAGGACATGACAACATACCATATACTGACTTTGGTATCACGTGACATGAATAGATGACGAAGGTAAACGACACATTAAGACATGATAATCATGACACGGAAGTCATGTATGGCATCATTTACCTTCACCTCGTAACATTGTGCTGATTTTAAAGTGACATAACCACATTTCTCATTCGTGCTTCGAATATCGTCGATTCTCACTGTACGTGGGATCTGCCAAATTTTTAAAATAGGAAGTTCAATATACCCGGGTTCAAGTGTGTTTCTTTTTTGGTGATTAATTTTGTTCATTTCCTTTGTAGGATTAGTCGGATATTCACTCTCACAAACCTGTGATACCCACCCTTATCAACGTACCATCGCCGATTTTTATCTTGCTTTCAACTTCTATGAGCTATATTATGCTTTGAACCCCGCACAACCTGTTTTTTTTCATTGCTTCTCATCTCCATGGGGGCTCTTTCGTTTCCGGTAAATACGTGCACCCTGTAACTAGAGAGGGTGCACGTATTTAACTTCACGAGGCCGAGCTTTCAGTAATTCACTGCGCTCTTCACTGCGTTACGATTCTGACCGCCGCCATGGCTAAACGAAACTGCCCGATACTAGTGACTAGATTGCAGTTGTAGGCATAAAATGGGAGGCTGTGGCATCGTACTTGGAGACGCAGGCAGTGTATACCTTCCAGTGCATTGCGTGGGCGAAATAAGCATCTGGTAGGGTGCTATAAAAAGTGCATCGCACACGTGCGCCGTCATAAAGAGAGAAAAGGGAAGAAATCGAAAACAGGGAAAGCCGGCCACAGCTTCAAATCTTTCGGTATTCGAACCTGTGCCTATCTGAACGTACAGAAGGAACGTGTCTCAGTTAGCTGAAAGGTCTCATCATCTCGCGGTGTTCGAGGCTGCGTCTCTTGGGCTGCTCAATGAACTGCCTCCGGATTTAAAATGTCCGCGGTGTGTAAACACACTGTTTTTACTTAGTTAGCTGAGAATTGTACGAAACAGTAGGTTCTGATGTTGTTTCTCAAAATGGTGAATGGTATTCTTTCTGGGTTCTATTGTAGTAGACATACTAAGTTCTCGTACTGCGAAAACATTTCTCATTGCACGGGTGTTTTCGTTTGCCAAAATTATCATATCCATCAATCCGTACATCCGTCCATCCATTCATCTGCCCGTCTGCCCGTCCGTCTAGATAACAAAAGGTTTCTCTCTGAAAAAGATAAAGCCATGTATAGTTTTTAGATATTCCTCTCGACAGTGTATAAAGCTACTCTACAAGCTTTGATGGAATGTTCGAGTTGGTAAGTGTGCGCAGGAGGCGATATCCTTACCGCTGCAGTCCTTTCTACTAATCCCTGATGATGTCCATTTCATCTTTATCCAACTCAGGATGACCGACGGCGTCAAACTGATTTCCGACAAGGGTACGGACCAGGAGGCGCCATGAATGATGCAATGGGCTGCAACCTGGCCAGGTTGGCGCGAAACAAAATCACCGACATGGCTATTACTCCCAGCCCTGGCGAGGACGAACAAGTCATCAATGACCAAGTCAGCGATTCAAGTATGGCCTCGCTACTCTGTAGGCACTTGGAACGCATGTACATGATTACGGGAGCACCTTCCTCTAATGAGAAAAAAACATAGTATAGTGGTAACAATGTAAAAAAAAGAAGGCTCTCCTGTTTACTTATTTTTTATGCACAAGCACAGATAATAGAATTAGAAAACTAGGACTGTGAAAACGAACATATAATTAAGTTTGCAATTCGCTAACAGAAAGAAACGAAAACAACATGATAGGGGACCTGGTGAGATAGCAGATCGAGATTGTAAGCGCGGGCACGCCACGAGGCTCGGTATTATCACCAATGCTAATCAATCTGACGCTATAGTCAAGCTGCTCCCCAAGCTACTTGTATTGACCAGTTGCGGTAAAGATCCAAGTAAAATGCCTCATTAGGAAAATATGGGAATTCGTGATAGGGTTCCCGATGAGCACCAGTTCGGAAAAACTGTATAGTTATGCCTCCGCAGCGCAATTAAGTAGTGTATTGAAGAGCAATGCATAGCACCATATGGGCGCCTCTCTAAGGCTATTGCAGGTAGACCGATTAACGCACAGATATACCCAAGGAGTTGGGTTGGGGAATGACCGCCACTGCAGCTCAATCGGTTGAGCATCGAACGCCTTATTCGAAGGTTGCTGGCTGAGTACTTGATGGTGGCTAATCTATGTTTTCATGTACTTTGGTTTCATGTCGCTTATATGGCATTTACTACATATACTTTCAATTATTACATATACAATTACTACTTTCCTAGCCTTGACTGCCTGTCTTTTCAAATTTGTATTGTGACTAGGAAAGAAAAAAAAAGTCACAGCTTTGCCGCAATGGCGAAGCAATGAACGTGATAGCAACAAATTGGAAGGTCACGCGAAAAATGACAAGCAGATCAAAACATACCCCACATTTCTCACGCACAATTGACACACGAAACGTAATCACATGTACAGATGAACGCGAAGAAGCGTCTCAGCTGTTATTTAACTGTTTCTGAAAAGCGCGACCTTTTCGCAAACGGAGACTGTGTAACGAGTGCAGTTACCATTGTGCGCTCGGTAACTACAACAGAATCGTTTCGGTGAAAGGCGAAGGCGTACGATTGTCGCCACCGCCAGATAAGCGAGCGCACGTGGAGCTCCCCTCTCCGCTGGGCAAAATACGCGTGGGAGATAAGAGCGCGGGCCACAGCGCCATGATGATCTTTCTGGATGAATGTATGGATAGGTGTATTGGGCTGTTCCCTTCAGATCGGGCAGCGGCTCATGCCACCTAGCCATTAAGCTAAGTACTGTCACTATTATGTTGAATGATTGAATTTCACTCGCGCCTTGATTGTAGCCACCCATTAGTTAACCTCCTCCTGGTCATTTCTACGCATTTAAAGAGCATTTTGCCTAGACTGTCCCTAAACACTTATGCTTTTCAAAATTCCGCGCCATCATCTTGGACTATAGGATGGAGCCCTTTACAGAACGTTATCAAATGTCCAGCCGTTTACCCCTTCTCTCCACATGCACTAGATAACGTGTCCGTGCCTTCGTGTTTGGCTCGGTACGTGTTGGTGCGCAGTGCTCTCATTCTGGCCTCGAACAACACAGAAGTACCCCGAGAATTATCCCAGATCTTTTATTTTGCACTTTCCTGCTGGAAAGTTCCGTTGGTCTCCAGTGATAATTTCGTAAGCATTCTAATCTTCCACGCGTTGTTCCCCTCTGTGTCCTTCACCTTCTTCTTAACCGATGTTTCCTTTTGACTTGGTCTTCTGCTGTTGTCTAAATACTTTCTTGACAATTTTCGAGTTCACTTCCTTTAATTAGTATCAACATTCTTCATGTACAAGTAGCTGAAATCTTTCCTAGCCCAACGTTCCTCTTCCATTCTTCTCACTCGCTCCCCCAATTTTATTTTGCTGCTAGCTTTCCTGCACTCGAATGATATCCATCTCATGTCACCCTGTACCCCCTGATTTGGGCTATTCCCGTGTGCTCCCAAACAAGTCTACCTATGCCACGTTGTTTAATTTTCAATCTTGCTTGAACCTCTGGTTTCATGCACATGATCGCATCGCCGAACGTCAAACCCGGGACCATGACACTTTTACAAATCCTTCTGTGTTATAATGTTATACCTATTGTAGTTACACAGTGCGTTATTTTTCATTAGAGCTGCGTTCCTGTTACCCTTAGTCATTAAGTATCTTTCGTGCTCCCTTAGGCACTCAACCCCGTTGTTTATCCATATGCCCAAATATTTGTATTTATCCTCTATTTCTAGCACTACTTTCTGTATCTTGTGCTCACTGCCTTCGTTATCATTGAAAATCATGCTTGCCGATTTTCCCTCACTGAACTTCAAATATAACCTATGTCCCTCATTACTGCAGATGTTCATTAATACCTGCAGATCTTTCTTGTTGTTGGCTAATAACACTGTATCACCTGCATACATCAATGCTGGTAATGACTGTTCAATTTGTTTTCCTTGCTTGGCAAAAGAGAGGCTAAACCCGAGTCGACTACCCTCTAACTTGACTTATGGTCCCTGTTGGTAGAGCATAAATACCAAAAGTGTCAAGGGGCATCCCTGTAAAAACCCTCGTTGTATCTCTATAGGTTCCAATACCTGTTCTTCCCGTTTTGTACCTACCTTGTTAGTTTTATCATATCAATTAGAGGATTAGTTATTCCATCTTTCACATCTAGTGTATCCAGTATTCCCCACAAGTCTTCGTGAATCACGTGATCGTAAGCTCCTTTGATGTTTAGAAACGCCAGCCACAGGGGCCTGTGTTCCTTTTCCCCTATTTCAATACTCAGAATCAATGAAAACAGATTGTCCTCCAATCTCATTTGTTTACGGAACCCCTTTTTGCAGTGCTCCCAGCACCCCCTCATTCTCCACCAATGCTTTTTAATATCTGCATCACCAGCCTGTAAACTAGTGATGTAACTGTTCTAGGACAGTAGTTGTTTATATCAGCTTTCTCTCCCTTTATAGATCGTGCTCATCCTGCTTATTTTCAACCCATGGGGGGCTCAACCATTCGTCATTGCTTTGCGAGTGACATTGAAAAAGAAAAAAAAAATGAGATAAGTGCGGTGCCGTTACTGTCTCCCTCCATGGAGGACACCTCCACAGCACTACGCGGGGGATGGGGAAATAGGAATGAAATGGACATGAGAAAAAAAGTTAAGAGAAGGGTGGAATTGACACCTTCCCCGCCACAAAGCGCGCGCCCGAACCACCGCGAGGAGCCGCAACCGTCCGCAAAAGCAACCGGGAAAGCCGGGGAAATATGTCCGCCGAAGAAGAAGATGATGAGCTGAAGAGGCGCATGACTCGCCTTGGCACGTAACCCAATCGTGAAAAAAAGTCCAGTACAACTCAGAGATGCGAGTCCTGATGGAGTCGATGAGGTAATCCTGCCGTCTAATTCACCGGGAAGATAGCTTCATGCGCAGCGAGAGCCGCAGCGCACAGTTCACGAACCGGAGAATTCGGCGGCAGGAACACAATCACAGCACGGATTGCCACCATAAGTGCATTATTCACTGCGTCCTTCGAATCGACCTCGGAGCCGCGTTATCCTGGGGAGAGAGTGATGACATCCTCGTGCTCACAGGAGCAGGAAGCGCACTGGTAGCAGGGCGAGGGGTGGTTGCCAGCGCCGATCGATCACCACAAGTGACAGCGTCCCGAAAGAAGTGGCGCTTCACGACTGCCACGCTGCTTCGCTTGTCAATGTTGTTTACAGTGGTCCTGGCCTTCTCCATCGCTTGGCGGCGCGTCACGGGGTCATCTGAAGACGGATGATGGTGGCCTTGGGCTGAATCCGCCAGGAAGGGCAGCGCGGCTAGTTAGCTGGATGGGTGCCGCTGCAGTTATTGCAGCGAGGGTGCTCCGCCGGGCATGGTATTTTCGCGTGGCGCCACAACAGTGGAGGCAGCGTTGGTCACGCGAGCAGATCGCCGTGGCATGGCCGAAGCGCGACCTCAGTGGGCGCACTGAAGGGTCCGCGGCAGGCGTGGATGGATTGGTGTGCGCAACTTGAAGAGGAAATCCTCCCGCGGCAGTACCCTGAAAGGTGATGGCGACACACCTGCCACGGCGTGTACACGAGATGACTGGAACGGCCGAAACGATATTGGCCGCGATGTCAGCGGCATCGAAGTTCTCGTCAACTCCGTAGACAAGTCCAACGCAGGTGCTGTCCGTGAGGTGCTCGGACCCAATGTTCAGGGAGCAAATAAGCCAAACACCGAGGAGCTCTGCAGGGTTCGCAGCCGGTCGAACATCCATAGAAACGAGGTTGCATGGAAAATTGACGCGGACGCGTTGGGCGGCGGCGAAGGCGGAAAGAAACGCCGCGATCGAGTAACAAGACACGGCGAGGACGTTTGATTGCTTCCCCACTGGTCTATAGATAATGTTGCCGTCGCGTTTCCTCAAAAATGTGAAGGAGGCAGGGGCGACAGGCTCGGGCGCCACAGTCGTGTTGACTTCGGCGGCCGGGATGAGAGAGGAAGTCGGTGGTGAAGCATGGAGTGGCGATAGTTATAGCGCGAGAACAAAACGACGACACAGAGACAAGAAGTACACGAAGGACGACTTCACTTGGCGCACCCGTCATGTCTCTCATTGCAGGGGACGAGGGAGGAGTGCTATGCTCCCAAGAGGATTTGGAGACGGACGAGCTGTCGGTCTCTGCAGAGTCCACTTGAGAAGGGGTGCCCTCAGTAGAGCTCTCTTGCATGCCCGATGGCGAGGGTTTTGCCATGTCGGGAGGACTTAAGATGGGGCGGGCTGCGGTGACAGCAGCCCCCGATTCAGCAGGTTCATAGTGGGCTTGAATTGCCGGTTCCCCCACTGTGGATGCCGTCTGTGGCCTGTTCTTTTTTTAGCAGCAACGACTTCGAGCTTCAGCCTGTGAAGGGCGGTAGCCTATGTTCTCTGCAGTGCATTTTCTCGATCCACCAGCTTGCGGAGCTAGGATCGG